GATCAGATAATTTGCAAGGAACACCACTTATGTTGTGTTTTTCAGGCACCTTCTCAATTGTGCAAATTACAATTGGCATACGCTGCCTGAGATGTGACCCCGTTGGTACGTAAAGTTTCGCGAAGAAGATGCTCATAGAAAACATCCGCTATTATTCTTAAAATTACACTGCGACAAAGAAGCTTCCTGGTCAATGGCACTACATGTGTGCAAGTATACTTGCATCACAGTGACAGTAGTGCCAATGAGGTTGCGTAGAATGAAAAAAGCGTTCTGCCCGATATCGTCTAACAGCCCCTTTATATCGCTTAACTGCCCATTGAAATCGGAAACAGCTACTATAACTCAGTTTTAGAGTCCTGCTGTGCACGATACAACTCATTCGTTATTTTGCTGAAGGTATCAAGTACCGGCAGGAAAGGAACTCGCTTAGTTTGAAGTAACTCACTGAGATACTGAAGTGCCTTTTTAACGGCTTTCCAGCAAGCAACCACTGCATGCAAATCTGGCAACGCGTGGAAGGAACCAGGCTCCAGTTTCAGACGGAAGTAACAGGGTAAGTTGAAGTGGCAGAGGAGCCAAATGGTTACATTCCAACTCCAAAGTTTTGTTATCACCAGTTACAAAAGGCGACTTGAAGGAATCCATTCCAATCCAATTGAATACTTGAAGTGGCATTCCTTTATTTTTACGCGCTACTGATGCCGAGATGCACCTTGCGGCTTGATCGGGTAACGTACAACAACAATCCAGGAATTCTGGAGAACATGTAAACAGAACCATGTCCCTCTATCCAACTTGGGGTTTCTATGTGATAAAAATGGTAAAAGTGAAGGTGTCTCAGTGATAAAGTGCTAATATAAAGCCGTGGTAACACTGCTAACACAAAAGACGGTCTGAAGAGACTGCGTAAGCGTGTTTCTTCCTAGTGCTTTATGGTTGATACCAAAACTGTTAACAGACATGTTCGATGCATTCATGGGCATGAAGGCAACATGCTCCGAAGATCCATTAGGCGTGGCCGCAGACAATATCGTCATGATGTCAGCAGCGAACATAGTGGCTATTGCATGATGCATGAGCAATGTGACATGGCACTATTGAATGCTTTCAGCCCGCACCGGGACGCTCTTAGAACCTTCGATACTTGAAATCGTAAGATTTAGTCACGCTTATAAGCTTAGCTGATGTTAAAGGTAGAAAAGAGCCACGTACATTTTTACCCATCTTCCAATCACCTCACTGACGACACCATCTAGCGGCTAAACTTACTGGTTTTAGCTCTTAGTAAGCCACGGTGTTTGCACGGTGGAAGAAGTGATAGGTGTTGAGCATAGAGTTAATACAGTAGTCAAGAGGAAAAGGTCCCATGCACTAGGGCATTTTCCGATGGGCCCATATTGCTGGCGACGCCTTAATATGCACAAAGAAGCAGTAAACATCCGCTATAAGCTCTGTACTTTGTTGTTTGGTAGCTTACTTCCCAGAGAAACACCTGAACCGCGACTTGAATCAAAATAAATGAAGTGGACCAGTGCTCAAACAACTTCAACTCGTCGGGTCAAAACGAACGCTCCAAACATTGTGTCTACTTTCTTTCTCCGCTCTTTTCTCACTTTTTTTCTCTCGTTTTTCTCTCGGCAACACCGATGTCAGCGTTCATGATTCACCGAGTTCTGCTCCCGTCTTTAAATCCCTGGTGCCGGGACAGGGCCAGAAAGGGTTTCGAGATTTCACCCAAGCTTCGCTCACTTCCCGGTGGGGCGCTGTCGGTTTGGGGCTCCTCGCGCAGGCGCTGTCGCGCGTCTCGCAGCCTTGAAAACGTGTGGGCAAATAAAGACGGTTGCTCGAGCTCCTTTCATAATGCGCCATCTCACGGAGTTCGCCAGAAATTGGAGCGAATCTTCTACAAACCTGCTCCAGGGAGAGGTGGCGCCATTCAGGCACCTCTCTCTCTTCCTCAACCGGAGTGGTGGATATGAAAGTACCTTGTCTTGTCTTAGCTGCGCACTCGGCGGTCCGAACAGAGCTGACTTCTTGCCTCTTCGAAAGAATGACGAGTGTTTTCAATGAGTTTCCTCAAAGAAGGAACATGTGAGCAGCTTGAACGGTAACTCCACTGGAAATTTTCAAAGTTAAAATATCCCTGTTTTTTTTGTTTTTTTTTTTGTACAGGATGTGACTTTGCGTTACGAGCTGTAAGCTATTTTTCGACGTCTTGTGTAGTTATTATCGAATATATTGCCTTAAACTGTGATTTCCGGTGTCGAAGGCAAAACCGAAACTGCCGACTCGTGAAAGGGCAACCGTGGTGATCACCTGCATGGCGTCTTGTAGCGAGACCCATGTCTGACCCAGTCACTGGCTACAGCTGTTTCAGTGCTCTGTATTTTAGTTATTTGACATGTGTAGCAAATATTTAACTCTAATTAAAATACTAAAACTGACTCGGCAGCGGCAGCGGTAAAGAGTACAGTGTAATTTGACAACTTACCTGTGATGATCTGTCTGCAGATCTGACGCCGCAATCTGCCCCGACCACCGGCGAACGCTATCTACACCAAGTGCAAAGTCCGAATCTGGAACCGTCATCTTCACGTGGTTACTACGTGCCGGCGTCGGAGCAACAACTACCTCCACGCTTTGACTACAAAAAACACCAGCAGCAAGATCGGGTTTCTTCATTCGGCAGCGGCAACGGCAAACAGGACAGTGTGTTTGACCACTTGCCTGTTATTTTCAGCAGGCCTTTGTTTTTGAAAACCTTTCAAATAATATCTATAGCTGCTGCTACTGCCGTTGCTGTCATCGCCCTTTTCTTGTATTGTGCTCGCGTCACTATGAGTGATGAAGATGGTGATGTTTTGTCTGAAGTACCACGAAGTATAAACAGATGACAGACCCAACATCACGTGTTCAGAATGTCAATTCACATATCACTTCGAACTTGCTGTGGCATCGCGGAATCAACCTTTAAAACGAGAAATGTGAAGTCTCAGGAAGCCTGGCGGAGGGAGACATGTAGTGCTGCCAAAAAAAAAGTAAAACCGCGAAGGCTAAGAAAGACGCCGAAATCGATGTGACGACCTTGCTTACAAGCATCAGCTTGAAACTAAACAGCTTGTTGAATATGAATAAAACGGTATCCGCTATTGAAACTTCCTTTCAAAATATGTCATGCCAATATGATGAACTACTGAAGAGTGTTAATCAGCATGACAAAGACAAAAAGTGTAACAAAATGTGTGGAGAAAATCGAGAACGCCGGGACGGAAGGACAACTTGCAGGGTTGAAACAGGAGATGAATCGACTAGACCGGCACAATATAAAATATAACCTAGAAATCCACGGGGTTATACAGACCGAAAATGAAAACGTGCTGTCCATAAGTAATGAGGTATCTACTAAGTTAGACTTTCGGACTCTTGTCCCATGGGAGATTGCTTCAATGCACAGGCTCCCTTCTAAACCACATAAGATTCTTGGGATAATTCTGCCCTTCGCGCAACAACAGACTCGCGATCGTTGGCCGGATAGAAGACGTAACCTTAAACACCCCAAAAATAACAAGTAAATTCTTGAGAGTATGACTCGCCAAAATAAGGCGCTTTTGTGGGCTACGAAACAATGGGAAAGATAACAAACTTTCAGTATGTTTGGTATCGAACATCGACACTGCGAAAACAGTGAAGAGCAAACACGTCTTTTCATAAATGAGCTGAGCAACTGGTGTGTGCACCTTTTCTCTGCTTTTATTTCTCCTCATACTTTTCTTTTTTTTTTGATATGGCAGTTTTGGAATATATATTGCCTTCTCAGTTTAAAGCTTGTACTGGATAAGAGTTTTCTTTATCAACTCGCTGTGTGCACATTAATTTTCGATAAGCTAAAAATAAAAGTGTTGATCGACTTTTTTTTTTTGTTGAGCTTTCTGATAATGAGGTTATTTTACTTTCTGAAACCTAATGCACGGAACATATCAAAGTTTTCAAATTGCCTTTCTACGGATGTTTTTTTTTTTTTATCAATCGCAGTGAAATTTAAGGAGGGGGGGGGGGTCATTTTTGATTAAAGAAAGCATTGATTGCGAGTTTCTGCCTCCGTTTACCGTTATCACTAAATATTACGAAGCTTTATCATTGAGAACCAAGAACGATTTTGTTTCGGTCTTTCACCGTCCCCCTGCAGGCACTTTGTCTTTTGTTTAATTTTCTGAGCGCTCTTTTTGATTTTGCAAATGAAAACAAGTTTAACATTAATGAGATGGCGACTTTAGTGTGAACATGTTAAGTAATACTGTTTCAGAAAGCGAACGGCAGTCCGATCGGGCTCACCTGGACCACCCACGGAGCACTCTGGTAGTCCCAGCGTCTAACTGCTTTTCTTTTGGTTTTTTTAACCTTGATGTGTACCTTACTTCCCTAAGTACCTAACGTTTCAAGAAAAAATTCATACCCACACCGCCCCCCCCCCCCTCCCCCCTGCATACTTTTTCAGGTAAAAACAAAAAAGCGAGGGGAAAACGCTTTTACATGGCCGAGCAAACATGTCACGCGCATGCTCCGACGCTGCTCAAACACCGTGACCACGATTATCATCGAAAGAGAGGCCATTATTCAAATCAGAATGACATGCAGAGACCTGCCAAGCTTCGGGTTTCATTGGGGAAAACGGCTTTGCCACAAAGCGGGTTCCTTAAAGAGATCTACGTGGGTCTTCCTGCTCTGTTAGCCCAACTGTCCGTGGCCGCACGATTACTAAAGCACTCCGTCTAATCCATTTTGGACTTCCTGATACGCTTCGCTTGGTCAATTGCCCTGGTGTTGACACCGCGACTGAAGGTCGCCTCGTGTGCCCACATGCCGTGCAGCTCACGGAGACCGGTATATAAATGGATGCTAGTCTTTGATGTGGCTTCGACGGATTGCTCCGATTCGTGGAGTAGCCTATCAGGTTAGTTTCAGAGTTTGAGATTTCAGTGCCAACGACCATAGTTACCATGATGAAGAACCTCCTGGTCGTTCTTCTACTTGGATGCTCCCTTACCGTTCTGGTTGGTGGAAATGGTGAGGACGCTCTTCTCAATTTGTGTTTCGGAGTTAGGACACGCTGGGCTAGATACCCTACCTGGGTAACATTCCTTCCCTTCATCTAACCTGCCCCTAACTAAGCGCTAAATCAGATTGTCTAGAGTAAGCCAAAAAATTCTCAATGTATTCGATGCTGGCAAAAGAAATCCCCGCATAATTCCTCAGAATAGCGGAAGACGTTTCGTTAAGAGAAATATGAAGAAGACAAGAACCTTTGCGAAACTATCTACTTCGATTCTTGGGTTCTCAAAAGGTTCCTTCTCAATTAAGCTTAACCCAATCTACCCGATTTTGATTAACTAAGTCAGCGCCTCACGCAACCGCCCTTTCTTCACAAGAAACACCGATCCCTGACCTACCCGCGTTTCCCCTCCACTCAGAGCGAGCAAGACCCTCGTCGTCCGCGAGAGGGCGAGCGACGGGTTCAAGTTACGAATACTTGGAAACAATTTTCCTTGCAATGAAGCCAAAGCCATTGGCACCCGTGCGCTGGCGCAAAACTTAGCACCTATCACAGCTGCGTTCGCGCGGTCTTCACGCACTTCTTCGGAAATGGCAGAAAAATCTGTCCCGGAGTATAATTTGTACAGACACTTTTCTTGGCAAACGCCACCAGGCGGTTCTCCAGCCTTTCGATCCCACAGAAGTTCATAATAATATTGAACGAAGCACACTTTAACAGTGCTGCCTGAAACGTCGATGAAGCATTTAACCCCTTATTCTTCAGGTGAACGGCAAAAGAAACCAAAAGCGCGAAATCTGTTCAAATATTTCGGATATTCTTGGAAACCAACTTGTCTCCTACAAGACATGAAATCGTACAACCGAAGGCGCTTGCTGAATCTCCAACTTTGTTTTTTGCATTGCATTCAGGCTTAGCATCTCTTGCAACATAAGCAAGCTCGGCAGGCTTTCAAAAAGGGAGTCACCGGAAGTCGCTTGTGACGCAAGCAGTGGTCTATGTTAATAATTGTAAAATAGTCTATATGCGAAAAAATCTATCTTGTTTACACTAACTTTATCTATCAAAATAATAAAAAATATATTAAAACTAAATTGTTGTGTGTAAAGAAGATGCATGTTTTGCTGCAGATTCAAACATACATAAAATCTAAACGCGAAATTTGAAAAAAAGAAAGGGCCGCCATATGCAAATATATTGAAGTAGTCTGACAGAAGTTTCGATACCTTGTGTTGACACTTAACCGCGGTGCATTTGTACTACGAATCAATGCTTACACAAATAAAGGTAGCGCTTAAGACTAGGATAAGTAGAAGACACAGACATGGACAAGCGCTGACTCACAACTGACGTTTAGTGAAGAAAACAGAAGCGCAAGGAAATATACGAAATTAGACGTCAGTTGTGAGTCAGCGCTTGTCCGTGTCTCCGTATTCTACTTGTCCTCGTTTTTTGCGCTAAATTAATTTTGTGTAATGTATAACCAACTATCACATCATAGGATATCAGAAATAATGCTTGTCCATTTTTGCGATTTTCTTTTATTTTTGTGCGAGCTTTACGACAAACGTTGCGCACAGTTACAAGTTTAAAACGTAAAAACCGAGAAGTTGTTACAGAAATTGATCGTGCATTTCCTTCCATGAAGCATATTTCGCGGGAGATATAGCTCTCAAACAAATACACACATTAAAAAAAGAACTACCATATGAAAATGAAACGCCGTTAATCTACACATCCTAAATGATTTAAACAAATCGGTCCAACCCTAAACTCTGCACATTTGTACTATTCCAAGCAATGTATGGTCGAAGACGCCACTTTTCGCATGTTCCCGCCAACCTGAATTTTAAATTTAAGCATACTTATTTTATATCAAAATGAAGACCATTTCCTCTCCTATGACATGGTAAATATTAAATATTTTTTAGGCAGCGACCAAGCATTATAACAGCAATTTAAACACCGGCTTATATCATCATTTTTCATGGCCGCCATGGTGCCTCAGCCTTAAACGGTTACTAAAGGACGCCACGGTTTCGATGACAGTTAAACGCCAATGTGTGAACCAGCCTTAACGGTCTCTGGTGGCGCTTTCTCCACGCGCTATTGACCAGCGGACGCCATTTTGGAGACCGTCAAGAACCTGATTCGCCAGATGGTTCCCGACCCGGAGATGCAACAGAAGTACCTGGAGAAGGTCGACGATGCCAGGGAGTGCCTCGATCTTGCCAAGGGAATCAATCCCGACGTCGTGAAGAAGGTATATGGTTTCTTCAATCAATATACCACCTATAGAAAACAAGCCCTGCACACCTTCGTCCCCCAAAACGTCATCGCTATGGTGGATTGACGCAGCACCGCCTATAGAAGGCGTCAGCGTCGCCGACAGCGCATCTTGCAGCGTCCCACAACCTGTGTGACACTAGCACTCGTCGAAGCCAGAACGGAAGCCTGTCTTTAGCGTTGCGGCGTCTCTCGGCGAGCTTCAGCGTGTTTGCCGCTTGGGGCGGGTTGGTCGGGGATAAATTACAGATCACGTCATGAGGGAGTCTTACCAAAGTTACTAGATTGCCTCAGTTGTGGAACTCCCGCGGAAGGTGTACTCCCCCCCCCCCCCCCCCCCACTTATTCCCCACACCGCACTCACTTCAGTCCGCCTCCCCTCATTTTAAGCGCCATCTAGATTTTCATTTACGAACTGTGTGTTCCATAGAGTACCGTGGAACGCCATCCAGATGCCGCGCTTCGCAACGTACGTATCCCATAGAGTAGACTGCAGCTACCAAAGCAGCCGTCCGGCGCGTCGAACGTCGGGAGGCGAGTCGCGGTGAGTAAGGGGGGTACTGTTCGACGCTCGTGCATGCAGCGTCTACGAGCAGTTCCGTCACTGAGCTAATCTAATAACGTTGAGTCTTACCTTGTGAGTGGAATTGGTTCAACGCAATCTTCAATACGTTATTCGAAAAAAAAATTAATCGATTGCATTTACAAGTACTCGATCGGTTATAAATGTATGCAATTAGATCTGAAGAAATCGGAAAACTAACGGTTACTTCTTCAATACCAGCCAATCACTTGACAAAAAAAAAACGTGATTGGCTGGTATTGAAGAAGTAACCGCGTTAGTTTTATGATTTCTTCAGATTTTCTCAACAACAATTTTTTTTCCGCCGGTTTAAAAACGGGTCTTTTTTGTACTGTCCGTTATTGAATTAGAGGCTTAGAATATATAAACTATACTTATTTCTTTAATCCATCAGTTTATGTAAAGCATCCCTTGACTTGATTTGAAGATTCTATGGTAGTAAACTGGTACAAACCGCATCTTTAGAAACGGAAGAGTGAGATTAGTGACAGACAGTCACAAGTTACTTCAGTAGTTACAACAGTGTAATCACATTAATGTTTTGATTACATTCTAATGATTGTAATCAAATAACTATAAACGTACCCCCAAAACTAAACGATTACAATTAATTGTATTAACTTGTAATGCTTACCGTACAAGTAAGGTTCAACGACGTTCACGATAGTACTCACTGAGCTCTGCCGTTGACAGAGCCAGCCACCACATTTGAGAGTTTCACGAAATTAAAAATGACGCCAGTAACTAATCGTCTGCATGCAAACTAGTAGAGAAGGTAGTGAACGCTGTCATTAGCATGAGAGAGGGAAACGCGATCTACCAAAAGTTAAAAGGTGTTTCGTGAAACTGCCTCGTATTAAGAACGATTGAAGTTAATCGTGCATTTTGTCTCCAGCCTCACTATGCTCTTTTTCCTTTTTTTTTTTTTGTCTTGATTGCTTGGTTTGCGTGCTGGAGTGTTATCTTCCTCCAGGAAGCGATCAGATTCGACATTCGTCATTGACTGCGCAAATGTGCAGCCCTCGTCCGTAGCTCCCGAAGGCGAGTGTAAACTGTGTGCTCCCCTTTCAGCTCGTGGACGGCATGATCCCTACTGTAGCAAGCTGCGCAGCCGAGACTGCTGGCGTTGCCGATCCCGCTGAAAGGAAGGAAAGCGTAAGTGCTGCTAGCCTTATATGTTTTCTCAGAACAACACATGTAATAGGATATCTACTATATATCCCGGCACTGTAAAACAATCCGGAAAACTTGGCACCGACCAGGGATGGGCAAAATACAGGCAAATATGTATCGAAATACAATTACAAAATACTTCGTCAAAAATGTTTTTAATTACAAATCTAATTACATTTCCAAAAAAAAGCATTTAAATACAAGATACAAATACAACCAAATGCATTTTGTCTCCTCTAAATACTTTCCCAAATACATTCCTAAAAATTTGCGTCAGCGACTTAGGGCACCTGCAACGGGTTTCTGGATATCTCATTTTAATTTTGCATCGCACGCTCGCCAGTTAGTATCCGAGGCTCTAGTAACGTAATAGAAATATAATCACGAACAAATGTGATTATACTATATATTAAGCTTGGATTTAATAGGTGAAAAAAGTACAGAGCTTCAAGCAGCTTTTTTTTTTTCGATTACATATTGGTATAGACCAGCAAAGAACCGAGACGACCAAGACGCGCAGCACTAGCTAGAGAATATGTTATTGTTGCAACTCGCACCTGTTACGAAATCTGGACGACCCGCGCATTTGGAATGTTCCAGGCAAAAAAATATGGATGGAAATCAGGCTGAAAAGCATCACAAGTTGTCACAGGCACTTATTTAGCCAGTCTGCCTGTGAACGTCGATTTCGTCACTATTCTTGCCCTGGACTAACACCGTAATCACAAAGTCACTATTCGGTGCAGAGCGTAGTTTTCTTCCTGTTCTTGACAGTGACAATAAATTTGAGGGATGTATTTTCGCCCACAAAATTGTATTTATATTACAATTGTATTTGAAAAACTCACGTTTTAGTATTTAAATACACACGTCAAATACATTATCCAATTTGTAATTGAACACAAATGCAAAATACACAAAGTATTTGAAATACGTATTTCAAATACTTGTATTTGAAATACTGCCCATCCCTGGCACCGACAAATAGAAAGCTCAAACTTTCACCAAACGTGCATTGTGTATTTTGGTGGTGTATTTCATATTGTAAATATCAAAGCGAAGCACTTTCATTGTGAAAAATAAAAACAAACAAACTTGCCATTCTCAACGGCGGAGCTGTTGGCGGACGAGTAAGCGCTGGTTTTAACTTGTGGCGCCATCCCGCGACAGGCGGAGCGAGCAGACGGTGCACTCCTTCACCTGCTCGCTGTGCCTATCGGGAGGTGGCGCCACGGTCTACAACCATCGCTAACTCGGTCGTCTGCGAACGCGTCCTCCGTTGACTCCGGCAAGTTTGTCTTATTTTTCACAGGAAAGGAGCTACGCCTTGAAATGCCCCTCACATTAGTATATCTCAAATTAAAGTCTTTAGAGCGGATTAAGAAACAACGCTAAATATTGTTCCAGATGAGAACTTGCATCCAGGGTAAAGCCGAGTCTTTCAAGGTAATGTTCTCCACTTCTTGCTACTGTTTTAGTATTTAACCTGGCTTAGAAGCGAACTTCAACTTAGAATCCATAGCTTTCCTGTACAGAGAGGGTATCCCCCAAAACATTTGCAGGGTTTCTTTCACCGCAAAATGAAACTGCGCATCGCCCGAACGCTCATTCTCCGCCTATAATTGTAGCCCTAGAGGTGCGTACCAGACGCTAAAGTTTCAGCCCGAACCGTTATGTTATTCAAGAGTTATAAGTGATTTTCTAAAACTTTATTGGGAAAATGGTGGCCGACAAAGGCTCTCGAATACATATAGCTCTATTGCACCAGAAACCGAAAACCGGCAAAAATGAGCACCATTTTTCTATTGAAATGTTGAGAAAATCACATAACGTTTGAATAAGATATATCGGTTCGTGCTGAAACTCTGGCATCTCGTTCTGACCTCTAGTGATACCTCTGGGCGTAAAATGAGCGTACGGTGATGCGTAGTTTATTTTTGTAGTAAAAAAAAAAAAAAGATCCGTAAATTTTTTTTTGGGAGGGGGACATTTTGTATATAAGCACCGATAAATTTGTGAAAGTGCGCTGTTATAGCTGCAGTGATCGTTCGCCCTGTTCAGTTGAACAGAGCATGTGACAGGGACATAATGAGTAAGCGTAGGCAAGCCTGCCCGTACCCTCTATCTCCCTGCAATCAGAGCGAGTGACAGCGTTGTCTGCTCCTCTTACGGACAGAGCAGTACACTTTGCCGTCTGGCGTTCTAGTGCCGGCGTCGTCTGCTACCTTTAGCAATGGGGAACGAGGTCTCAGCCTCCGAAAGAGGGGAGGTGATATAGCGACGCGTTCCATCGTACGAGAAACCCACGGTTACAAAGCCGTTGGTTACTCGTTCGTCGTCTGCTCCAGACCGCAGCAAACAGCTGCGGGGACGAAGCTTCGTCGTACACGTCATCACTCTTTTAACGCCCCTCATCACCTCCTCTACACAGCCAGGTTCTTCCTCTTATGCGGGGAGACCGTTTTGACACGACTTGCTCGGCGAATAGCCACTCTTTCCGTTGTCCTGCCTTCAGCGCGGGCTTTCTAACTTCACTAAAAGTTTGGCGTCTTGTTAGCTCTGAGCGTGCACTAGCATCCAGAGCACGACGGAAGGCTAGATCCCGTACTGAAGGTTTGGCATTCCAAAAGAGCTTTCCTGCTGGTTTTGTTCTGCCAGATGCAAATATCTGCATGTTTTCAAGACGGGTATAAGAATCGGCTTGGCATTAAAACACGCAGAGCAGTGTCTAATTTGATTTCTATTTGGACCTGCAGAAGGCAAGTGGCATGACCGCCGATGACCTTGCCAAGTGGGAGATGGCTTGTGTAAGTTACGCTCTCGTCATTTGAAGGCTGAAACAGTAAATACTGTAAAACATTTAATGCATGCTTGAGCAGTGCGCGTTGAAACTAATCGGATGATGATGACTAGCACGAACTTGAGGAAAAATCTCTGTGATATTTCAGAAGAAGTGAAGAGTGCTTATGCATTACCTTCATCGGCTATCAAGCTGGTCGAGCGCGCGTGCGCCCACAGCTTCGACTGCATAGCCAGTGGAAGTTGCCAACGAGTATAACACGCCGGCGCACAATATTGTGATATTTTACCTTTTAATTTGAACAGTTGTGAAGGTCATTCGATTATCCTATGAGTAAGCGAAATGACTTATAGTCCTTAATTGTGTATGGTCAGTCAAGTAGTTGACACTCGCATTGGGACTAAACCAATAAAACAGTACTTTTCCAATCTTTCCGATTCAACATAAAAGAGTGTAAAGCAAAAAAAGTAACGTTTTCTCTAGCTTTTACGTCACTAAACACTTACAGTTAACTTAATAATCAATATTTCTTTCTTTTTTTTTAGTTCTGGCTATTTTTAAAGAGTCTTACCTTGCGATATAAAAAATGGACACCTAATTAATTATAAGAATTGTTTTATAGAGACTAACTGTAATATGAGATTTATTTATTTATTTATTTAATATTATTTTTTAACACCAACAAGATTGCTTTAGGAGACAAAAAAAAAGCGCTTATACTGATCATTGAGGTGCCGAGAAGGAACCTTGATGATAGTCGAAAATGCGCCTGTGTTGCCCGAATTACGCAGATATTACGTTGATCAGTAAAATTTTTTGGGAGCGTATGAAATAACGTACGCCAGAGGTAAATAAAGAAAGCGTTGGGATTATTTATCATTTACTAAAGAGAGAGATTCAACTGTCGAGAGCAGTTTCGTTTGGTTGTTTCCTGGATTTCATACGTCAAGATAGATGAAAAATCAAGGAAGGCATTTCATTTCATATCTTGAATTGTTACACGAGAATATAATTGTATTAACAATTTTTTTATCACGATTGAGTCTATTTGTGTTATTATGTTTCTCATTTTACAGAAATGCCTGCAGGAGAAGTATCAGCAATGAGCATCGTCCTCTTGGCTGCTGTCAATTGTATTGTCGCGTTCCAGATGTAGGCTTCGGCACCAATAAAATAGTTACGCATCTTCAAATAGACTTCCCGCGTCTACTGTCTCAATTCATATTTCCCACGGACGCCGACGAATAAATTATATACCTTGTCGTATGCAACAACCGGGTAGGCGTTTTATAACTCCTTCACTATTTCGAGCAACTCATACTTGCATTCTTGAGGGATGTTTTAATGACTGTTGATGATGCCATTTGACCCTGGAGTGCTATGGTTAGTCTTGATTGCGCAGATGGCCTCTTCTTTTTAAAGTTTAGATAGTTCTAAATGCAGTGTTTATGTATATCTCTAGAAAACTACTTGATAAAGGCGCAGCAAGTGCCACGCTCCCTGCACGTGAAACTTGACTTTGTTATTCACTCCTTTTTCTTTTCCGTATCCCAAATTTTGTTTAACGTATGAGCGCCTCAATGGCACCACCAAGGTGAAAGAAGAAAAACGTGTCTGAACAAGGCCAGTTAAAGCGACAAAAGTTGGCTCGGACTTAGCGCACCTCCTGGCAGGGGACACTCTCAGTTTAGCGGCTTTCGTGCACGCGCGGTCACGAGCTGCGTGCCATTAAAACGCATGCGGGAGTAAGGACGGTTCCTCGAGTCCCGCCTCCACTTTGTTTCATACTTAGTGTGCAATGCAGTCAAAGCTGCTGTTGCGAGCATGAGGTTTTTATTTCGCAGATCGCTTGCACCAGGGTAGACAATAAAACTCAAGTGGATTTGAATCACGATTTAAATCATAATTTTAATCTCCTTGTTTTTGCTGTGTTGATTTTAATCAGGCCCGTATAGCATAATCTAATATATACACAATTTTGCTTTGCCGTTTGAGAATTGTATAAATTTATTATTTGTGCATACACTTCATTAAACATTCATAAAAAGGAAAAATTAGAGTTCTGTGATGATGAGAAGTCAGATGTCGGAGGCACTAAAAATCTTTTTTTTTATGTGAATTAAACTGTGAAAAGAACTATATTAGTCCACTTTAAGCCCAATTACTTCTCAGTGACAACGTCTTGGAGAACACGTTTTGTCTTTGTAAGCGATGGAGGAGCTGAATGAAGCCGTAATATACCATATGAACAGCTCCGTATGTATACAATCTGACGGCTTTAGTCAGCCCTTCTATTGCTTACATAGAAGAGAAAGGATACTAAAGACACTCTTGTCGGTGAAAAATGATTGGGCCTTAGCCAATTACCGCGTTTGGCGCCGATTGTAGGTGCCTAAAACTGGAATTGTAAGCGCCTAAACGTCTGTTTATTGAGCAAGGCGCAAAGTTTTCCCGTAAGAAAAACGAATATGAAGGTCGCGCTTTCTCCTTTTCGGTTCGTTGGGGAGCCACATGGAGTTTGATCGGAAGTCAAGGAAAACGCGAAAGGAAAGAAACGAACAAAACGAGAAGCGAAAACCAGAATATGTGTGCATATATGCACACGCACTCGCGCGCGCGCACAGTCACACACGCACACGCGGGTAAGCACCCACGAACAAACACAGACACACACGAACGCGCGCGCGCACGCACGCACGCGCACATTGCTGTACCGTCGTGCAAACAGCGGTAAGCAAAAAGAAAAAGTAATTATTGAGTGCTAGCCAGTAAACTAAGCTAAACTTAAATGACCCCCATTTTTCTTCTGTTGTTTCGCACCCTCGGAGTACAGGAAATAATTACCCCTTTCGCCCTCCCTCTCCTCCTCCTCCTCCTCCTCCTCAGCTGGGAACTGAAGGGTAACAGCTCGGAGTGAACTGTTGGTCACTGACCTGTTGACAGTCATGTAAGCGGGATGTCGGGTGGAAAGCGTGCTGCACTGCGGCAACATTTCTTGAGTAAGAAGAGCAAGGGTGAAAGAGCAACTTGTCAAAGTTGTGGCAAGGAACTGCGGGGTCTGGTAGGGTGATTGCAAAAACATTGGAGTGTATGTTCTGCTCTTTGCAACGCGGGCATGACACGCAAGAGGACGCTGGAAATGATGGATATGATGAACTTACATGGTCTCTGAAGCTAATGCCATAATCTTGTATCGTCTATCCATTCGCTGTACGATTCCATTTCATAAATAAGAAAATACAAGAGCTATGTTGAAATAACGATATGAAATGATTAAATGAAAGTTCGAAATGTCGAAAAGACCTAAAGAAAACACAAGATTTCAACGCGAAACGTAAAAAACACAAAAATAAACCTCCGGTGGTGGCCGGTGCCAACGTTATTAGAACCAAGTCAGTTCTGAACTCCGCTCCGGGGGGGGGGGGGGGGGGGGGGGGGGTCCCTTTCTCTGGCACCTGTTAGAGGGCGCGCGCCCCACATTAATACTCGCTATCATCATCATTGACGGCGCGCTTGCGGCCGTTGCCATAGAGATCGTACATGGACATTGCATCTGTCCTTCTGAGCTTACGGATGTTCGTGGCGCTTTTTCTGACAGTAGCAGACGACTTTCAAATTGTTTCTGCTGCAGTTGGTACTTGGTAGTCATCGGCACATCTACTATTACAGTATGCACAAACTTGCCCTGATCGTAGCCACCGGATTGAGGCGCCGACGAATTTGGGTTGTTTGAAACGCTTCGCGCTGTCAGCACAGCTAAGGCAGCAGCATTTTAGAATAATGCAAAGCCTATGCCAAAACGGTCGTAGCGCTTTTCATGCTCAAATTGTAATTTTTACAGGCGAAAGGGCAAAAATGAACCAAAAACCATGCTGAACCTCGAGAGGAGTCGGGACTCGCACGCAGCCGCGGAGCAGTAGCAGACGAAAACGCGTGGAATAATGCGCCGGCAGCGCCACCTAGCAGCAAAAATATCGGACACGGTTTGGGACCCCCTCCAATGTACAGCGTCTATGGGAAAATCCATAACTGAGTTGATCTAGTAACGGTGGCCGGTGACCATGGAGCAACGGCGAGAAACTGGAAGTCGGCGGCTATGCGGCCCGGAAAGTGAGCGGAGGGCGCGCCGACTGGTGGCAGCTCGAGTAAATGACTCCCTGAAAGCGTCTATAGCAAGGAGGTTAGAAGGACTAGGAGAGGGCACGTTGCAATATTGGTGAAGCTTAGTCATAAAAAGTTTAAATGATGTTGTGGCCAACGTGACCATAGATCTCGCTGGCAATTGGTGCGCGTGACATGTCACGTGTGAGATGGACGGTTGATTGTAGAAGGCAGACATGTACAAGTTACTAAAAAAAGTAATTAAGTTAAGTTACTGAGTATTGGCCTCAAAAGTAATTTGAGTAGAGTAGAAATTACTCAAATGGAAAGTAATTGAGTAAATTACTAACTACCGTAAAAAAGTAGCGAATTACTTTAAAGTTACTTTTGAAGTTACTTTTATATGTTTTTATGGTAAAAAAAAGTACACAGGTTTTGATCCGTTAGCGAAATTGTGCTTGCCAAATATACATCGGCTTGTTTTTTCACAGAAATGCTTAAATAGCTGGTTCTGCTTCTGCGTGCCTAATTGTTTTGCACTTCCTTGTTTGTTTGGTCAATTATGTACTGCAAATGTGTCATTTCTACTTTGAGGTTTAGCACTGCCTGAGATTGATTTTTTAGACAGTGCACGCTTGTGTAGAGTATTGCGTAAAGTACATCTTAAAAGTACTTGAAGGAAAGTACAAAGTAAATGAGAAGTTATGTGCCACAAGTAAAGTAGTAAGTACACCGGGTGCAATGTACTTGAAGTAACGTACTATAAATACAATGTATTTGAAGGTAAACTACAAGTACTTTTAACACAATCTTTCATGATGACCTTTCATTCCCTATACAGTGTCTTTTAACTGGTATGCATTGCTCCAGGGGTAATCGGAGGTGCATCGGTTTTTTACGGAAATGGCAGCAAATATTGTATAAAGTCAAGTCACCACAGAGTAGTTGTACTCTCGCTGACGAGCTATTCGACACAATCAACTTATAAGGCACTTATTTGTATCGGTTTTATAGCTGCCATTACTTAATTCAGAGAAATGAGCAGATGACACCTTAAAAGAGCGCGTTTTCACACGGCAATACACCTTTTTTTTCAAATTCGGGGAATGTACACTGAAGTTGGGAGTTTTACTTTCCTTGGAAGGTACAAGTACATGCTCAGAGAATGTACTTCAAGTAAAGTACAAGTTTTCTAAACAGTAGTACTCTAAGTACCATGTACTTAGAGTACTTCTCAACACTGCTTGTTTATTTTTCTTTGTATAAAAACGTTGGGGGAATTATTAAGTTTTCTCGAACAATCTTCGAATCTTTGAAGATCTGCATATTCTAAGTTTTGGGAGGAAAGGCAAAGCAAAAAAGTCCTCGCTGCGTTGCCCTTTGACACGCGATTCTTCGAGTACAGCACAAACTACGGGAGCACCAGGTGAGCTTCAGAGCATGTGCTGCATTTTGTTGCTTCCTTTGAGTGAGGATACAGTCTGTGCACCTCCTGTAGTAGGCGAGAGTTTCTGCGCTGAGGAAAAGCGGAGACCAGCCCTCCGTTCAAATGGGTCTCAAAGAAACGCCAGTCTTCGGGACTCAAAGAAACGCCAGTCTTCGGCGCTAATCCCGTAGTTACTCGAACCCTCTTGCGTCGTGTCTGTTCGCTCCCCGCGCCTCGTAGCATTGTTGTTGCAGGGGGGCGGAGGGGGGGGGGGGGGGGGGGGGGGGCTCGGCTCGTGAAAATGTTTCCGAGGTTTCGGAATCCCCACACCATTTTCTTCCCCTCCCTTCCTACGCCAGATGCTTCTCGCTCTTTGCAAATATCAGCTGATCTTCCAACATCTTACCTCTTCTGTGCAGGGATGTTTGTTGATAGGCAAAAGAACCACTAATATTCGAAAGTAGTTTGTAATTTGAGTAGAAGTTACTTAGAAAAAGTAATTAAAGTAAACTACTAATTACCGAAATAAAAATGTAATTGGAAGTTACTAAACTACTCAGAAAAGTAGTTAAACTACAGTAACTTGAGTAGAGTAGTTGAACTACGTACAAGTCTGGTAGAAGGACTCCTT